TCGCCAAGAAATGCATCTTATGTGAAAAAATAAGCTTTTATTTATAAATCACAAATTATAATGAGAAGGGATATATTTGCACACAAGTTTTCAATACTACATTCATACAAAATTTTGATCATTTATTTATCTACTTTCAATAATTGAAATTTAATTACTTTTTATCATATTTAATAAGGATAATTATTTTGTCACTTAAAAAGTTATAATACATTTCAACTATTGAAAGTGAAAAAATGAACTATAAAGATTTTGTATAAATATGATGTGTAAGATTTGTGTATAAGTGAATCTTAATTCAATTATAATATATATTTTTTTGATTTTACAATAAACAATGAGAGACAACTCCTTCATATTCTCAACTTAAAAGCTCTTATTTTCATAAAAAAAAACTATAACAAAACCACTTAAACAGGTAGTGACAAATTATAATTCTTAATTTCAGTTAAGCTCACTACTTGATGTTGACCAACAAGAATAAGCTTTCAGGTTGCAGAAGAATTTATTCTATAAAGATTTTATTCTTACTCTCCATGATAACTCTCAATCAGGAATAAAATCTTTGGTAATGTAGTTCTTTCAGATTGGCATCGATCTGTCTAAATCTTAATGTCAAGGCTTCTCTTTTGGATGGAGATAGAGAGCTAAAGATGGATTGCCAACAAAATGTACTAAATGGCAATTAGGAAATGTGTAATTGTGATTTGTTATTATATGCAGTACCACTTTAAAAACACTTGAACAAAAATTTTAAAAAATAAAAATGAATTTTAAAGCGACCCCCTTTCTCTCTATTCTCCGTCTCCCTCCTCAACTTCATACTGGCGAAATAAGGGAAATGGGATTGAGGTTGGGGTTTTTCTATAGTTTTGTTTTATTTTTGTTTTTGTTTTTGTTTTTGTTTTTTTTTTTTGAAAAACTCATGCAAATTATTATCAATAAATTGGTTGTAACTCTATAAAAATTACATATAAATATACCAATAAAAACCACAATCTCTTTCTAAAATTGGATTTGATATGTTATATGATATCAACTATTAATAGATCTCTTTAACTTATACCTTAAAATTAGAAAACATTAACTTTAGAATAATATCATGTGGGTAAATTTAATTAGATAATTAATAAATTAAATATTATTTTTTTAATTTTTTTAAAACTCTTAATTTATATCCTGAAAGTATAGGTTAATTAGAAAAACCCAAAATTAATAACTTAACGCTGAAGCATTAATAAGCTGCTAAATTCATCCATTCTAATGTATTTCTATTTTCAGAAACACTAATTTTCAACGTCCAGCAGCCAACACGCAAAACCCTATTGCTCTGCCGGCGCTCCTTAATAGAAAAAAATCTTAAAATGGCTTTGTCCATCCAGCGGTTGGATTTCTTACTTTTTGTCTATTTTTCGTGCATGCTACTTCATCTCTCTATTTGTGAGGATTTGTGCCACTTTATTGCGTAATTTTATCCCTCCGCAAGTGGAATTTAATATTGTCCTTTGGACGGTGTCGTCCCTCCCATGGTAGGAGGTGTTTATTTCATTTTATAATATGGTAGATCGAATTTTGTTGTAATCTTTGGATTTTGTAAGTTTGAGAATAAATTTTTATTTTGAACTTTCTAGGTTTGGGGACTTAAAGAAGTTCTTAATTTCCTTAACTTTGGATATTAGAGATGGCTCACCCGCTTGTTTGTAAGATATATTTGGGAAGCAATGACTTCGGGTTAAAAATTATTATTTGGTTATAAGTTGTTGTAGTGTTGTGCGTGTTATGACAATAACTCATATAAGAGAGGTGAATGAATACTTAGATACCCACGTATATTTATTTAGTTATTATTTTTAGTTTTGTTTTAATTTTTAGATTATTTTGTATTTTAAGAGATATATTTGTCGTAATATATAAGAATTATAAACTATTAAATAATCCTTAAGAGAGGTAAAATTATATTGTACTTTATCTATTTAATTCAATACAATATGATCATTTTTCTCAAAAAAAAAAAAAAATTTTCAACGTCTAAAAATATTGAAATTCATATTTCCTCAAAAGTAATTGTTTTCCTTGGCTGGCTAGTACCTCAAAAATAGAGCGGTAGAAATGAAATTTTCTCAAGTGTCAAGTTAAAGAAGAAAAAGGTAACTGCCACTACAAGAAAAATGATTTTTAGTGACAGAAATTTGTGATAAAATTTGAAATGATTACTATAATTTATCATAATTGTGACAGATCTAAAAAAATAGTCATAGATGCATACATATTTAATAATGAACAAAAAAATTCATCATAAAAAATATATTTCATCATCGAAAAATGTTCATAGAGATAAAATAAGTTTTTGTAGATAAAAATCATCACTATAATGCATTACAATTATGACAAAATTTTAATATTAGTCACATATACCTTACACATTCAATGATGACCAAATAATTTATCACTAAAAAATATATTCGTCATTAAAAACTATCAATTTTCTCTAATTAACGCATCCCACATCGATAAAAAACACATAAGAGAATAAGGTTTTACATTATAAATATATCCCACATTGACAAGAAATATTTAAGAAA